TTTTTTTTTTTTTTTTTTTTTTTTTTTTTTTTTTTTTTTTTTACTTTTTTTTTTTTATTTTTATTTTTATTTTTTTCTTTTTAGTTACATTTTGTTAACTCCGTGTCCCAGCTGTATCCCGCTCCCTCATTCCCTCCCCAACCCCACACTCCCTCCCTGGTCTCCTCCCTGCCCCTTTCCAAGTCCCCTGATAGGGGAGGACCTCCTCCCCTTTCATCTGTCCCTGTTTTATCAGGTATCTTCAGGGCTGGCTGCAAAGTCCTCCTCTGTGGCCTAACAGACTGCTCCTCCCCTGGGGGGAGGTGTCAAACAGCCTGCCCTTGAGATCCTGTTAGAAATAGTCCGTGTCCCCCTTACTTTGGAAAACTACTTGGTTACTGAGCTACCACAGGCCCCATCCGAGCAGAAGTTCTAGGTTATATCCATAGATGGTCCTTGGTTGAGTTTCAGTCTCAGAAAAGACCCTGTGCCCAGATATATTTGGTCCTTGTAGAGCTCCTATCCTTTCCATATCATACTAACTTCCCTTCTTTCATATGATTCCCTGCACTCTGCCGAGGGTTTGGTTATGAGTCTTAGTGTCTGCTTTGAAACACTGCTAGGTAGAGTCTTTCAGATGCCTTTTGTGGTAGACTCCTGTCATAAGTTCAAGGCACATCCCATTTGTCTTTCTAAATGAGGATTAATCACCTTCGCCTGTGTCCACTTTCTTGATTATCTTCTTCAGGTGTGTAGATTTCATTATGTTTATCATGTCTTGTAGGTCTATATAAGCGAGTATATACCAAGTTTGTCTTTCTCCTTCTGGGATACTTCACTCAGAATGATCTTTTCTAGATCCCACCACTTGCCTGCAAATTTCATGATTTCCTCCTTTTTGATTGCTGAGTAGTATTCCATTGTGTAAAAATACCACAATTTCTGTATCCATTCCTCCGTTGATGGACATCTGGGTTGTTTCCAAGTTCTGGCTATTACAAATAAAGCTGCTACGAACATGGTTGAACAAATGTCCTTGTTGTGTACTTGAGCAAATTTTGGGTATATACCTAGGAGTGGTATAGCTGGGTCTTGAGGTAGCACTACTCCTAGTTGTCTGAGAAAGCGCCAGATTGACTTCCAGAGTGGTTGAACCAGTTTACATTCCCACCAGCAATGGAGGAGGGTTCCCTTTTCTCCACAACCTCTCCAGCATGTGCTATCACTTGAGTTTTTCATCTTGGCCATTCTGATGGGTGTAAGGTGAAATCTCAGGGTCGTTTTGATTTGCATTTCCCTAATGGCTAATGAGGTTGAGCATTTCTTTAAGTGTTTCTCTGCCATTCGATGTTCCTCTTTCGAGAATTCTCTGTTTAGCTCTGTTCCCCATTTTTTAAGTGGATTACTTGGTTTGTTGCTTTTCTGCTTCTTTAGTTCTTTATATATACTTGATATTAGCCCTCTGTCAGATAAAGGGTTGGTGAAGATTCTTTCCCAATCTGTAGGCTATCTATTTGTTTTGATGACAGTGTCTTTTGCTTTACAGAAGCTTTTCAGTTTCATGAGGTCCCATTTATTGATTGTTGCTCTTAGAGCCTGTGCTGTTGGTGTTCTGTTCAGGAAGTTGTCTCCTGTGCCAATGAGTTCTAGGCTGTTTCCCACTTTTTTTTCCAGCTGATTTAGAGTATCTGGTTTTATGTTGAGGTCCTTGATCCACTTGGACTTTAGTTTTGTGCAGGGTGATAAATATGGGTCTATTTTCATTTTTCTGCATGTAGACATCCAGTTGGTCCAGCACCATTTGTTGAAGATGCTGTCTTTTTTCCATTGAATGGATTTGGCTTCTTTGTCAAATATTGAGTATTCATAGGTGTGTGGGTTTATTTCTGGGTCTTCTATGCGATTCCATTGATCCTCCTTTCTGTTTCTATGCCAATACCATGCAGTTTTTATTACTGTTGCCCTGTAGTACAGCTTGAGATCGGGAATGGAGATACCTCCAGATGATCTGTTGTTGTACAGAATTGTTTTGGAGATTCTGGGTTTTTTGTTTCTCCATATGAAGCTGAGAATCTTTTTTTCAAGGTCTGTAAAGAATTGAGTTGGTATTTTGATGGGAATTGCATTGAATCTGTAAATTGCTTTTGGCAGGATGGCCATTTTCACAATGTTAATCCTACCAATCCATGAGCACGGGAGATCTTTCCATCTTCTGAGATCTTCTTCAATTTCTTTCTTCAAAGACTTGAAGTTTTTCTCAAACAGGTCTTTCACTTGCTTGGTTAGAGTCACACCAAGGTACTTTATGTTATTAGTGGCTATTGTGAAGGGTGTTGTTTCCCTAATTTCTTTCTCGGCCTTTTTGTCTTTGGTATACAAGAGGGCTTCTGATTTTTTTGAGTTGATTTTGTATCCTGCCACTTTGCTGAAGGTGTTTATCAGCTGAAGAAGTTCTCTGGTTGAATCTTTGGGTTCACTCATGTATACTATCATATCATCTGCAAATAGTGACACTTTGACCTCTTCCTTTCCGATTTGTATCCCCTTGATCTCCTTTAGTTGTCTTATTGCTCTGGCTAGGACTTCAAGTACAATGTTAAAGAGATATGGAGAGAGTGGGCAGCCTTGTCTTGTCCCTGATTTCAGTGGGATTGCTTTAAGTTTCTCTCCATTGAGTTTGATGTTGGCTATAGGCTTGCTGTATATTGCCTTTACTATCTTTAGGTATGTGCCTTGTATCCCTGATCTCTCCAAGACTTTAAACATAAATGGGTGTTGGACTTTGTCAAATGCTTTTTCAGCATCTAAGGAGATGATCATGTGGTTTTTCTCCTTCATTTTGTTTATGTGGTGGATTACATTGATGGATTTCCGTATGTTGAACCACCCTTGCATTCCTGGGATGAAGCCTACTTGGTCATGGTGGATGATATCTTTGATGTGTTCTTGGATTCGGTTTGCAAGTATTTTATTGAGTATTTTTGCATCAATGTTCATAAGAGAGATAGGTCTGAAGTTCTCTTTTTTGGTTGGATCTTTGTGTGGTTTAGGTATCAAAATGACTGTGGCTTCATAGAATGAGTTTGGTAGTGTTCCTTCTGTTTCTATTTTATGGAATAGTTTGAGGAGAATTGGTGTTAGTACTTCTTTGAAGGTCTTGTAGAATTCTGCGCTGAAGCCATCTGGTCCAGGGCTTTTTTTGGAGGGGAGACTGTTAATGACTGCTTCAATTTCCTTGGGAGATATAGGACTATTCAGTCTTTCTACCTGATCTTGACTTAATTTTGGTAGATGGAATCTGTCAAGAAAGTTATCCATTTCATTTAGATTTTCAAATTTTGTGCCATATAGGCTTTTGTAGTATGACCTAATAATCGTTTGGATTTCCTCAGTGTCTGTAGTTATGTCCCCATTTTCCTGTCTGATTTTGCTGATTTGTATGGTTTCTCTCTGCTTTTTAGTTAGTTTGGCTAACGGTTTGTCTATCTTGTTGATTTTCTCAAAGAACCAGCTTTTTGTTTCATTGATTCTTTGGATAATTTTATTTGTTTCTAATTGATTGATTTCTGCCCTTAGTTTGATTATTTCCAGCCGTCTGCTCCTCTTGGGTGTATCTGCTTCTTTTTTTTCTAGGTTTTTCAGTTGGGCCATTAAGTTGTTTGTATGTGATGTTACGGATTTCTTCTTGTAGGCACTTAGTGCTATAAATTTTCCTCTGAGTACTGCTTTCAATGTGTCCCATAAATTTGGGTATGTTGTGCCTTCATTTTCATTGAATTCTAGAAAGTCTTTAATTTCTTTCTTTATTTCTTCCTTGACCCAGCTGTCATTGAGTAGTAAGTTGTTCAGTTTCCATGTGCGTGTCGGCTTTTTGTTGTTTCTGTTGTTGTTGATGTCCAGCTTTAGTCCATGGTGGTCAGATAGTATACAAGGGATTATTTCAATCCTTTTGTATCTGTTGAGGCTTGCTTTGTGACCAACTATATGGTCTATTTTGGAGAAGGTTCCGTGTGGTGCTGAAAAGAAGGTGTACTCTTTTGAGTTTGGGTGAAAAGATCTGTAGACATCTATTAGGTCCATTTGATTTAGGGATTCTGTGAGTGCTTTTATTTCCCTATTTGGTGTCTGTCTGGTTGATCTGTCCCTTGATGAGAGTGGGGTGTTGAAGTCTCCCACTATTAAGGTATTAGGATCAATGTATGATTTAAGCTTTAATATTGTTTCATTTACGAATGTAGGTGCTCTTGTATTTGGGGCATAGATATTCAAAATTGTGATGTCCTCTTGTTGGATTTTTCCTTTGATGAGAATATAGTGGCCCTCCTTATCTTTTTTGATTAACTTGGGTTGAAAGTCTATTTTATTAGATATTAGGATGGCTACTCCCGCTTGTTTTCTGGAACCATTTGCTTGAAAAACATTTTTCCAGCCCTTTACTCTGAGGTAGTGTTTATCTTTGTTGCATAGGTGTGTTTCTTGGATGCAACAGAATGTTGGGTCCTGTTTCCATAACCATTCTGTTAGCCTGTGTCTTTTTATTGGTGAGTTGAGTCCATTAATATTGATAGATAATATTGACCAATGCATGTTAGTTCCTTTTGTAATGGAGTCGATGATCTTACCTTGTTTCATTGCTTGTTTTCTTTTCATTTTTGTTGGGATGTTATCTGTATGCCCTGTTTTCTTGGGTGAATTCGTTTTCGTTGGATTGGAGTTTTCCTTCTAGTATCTTCTGTAGGGTTGGTTTGCTGTATAGATATTGCGTAAATTTAGTTTTGTCATGGAATATTTTGTTTTCTCCATCTATGTTGATTGAAAGCTTTGCAGGGTATAGTAGTCTCGGTTGACATTTGTGATCTCTTAGAGTCTCCATGATGCTTGCCCAGGCCCTTCTGGCTTTCATAGTTTCTGATGAGAAGTCTGGTGTGATTCTGATAGGTCTACCTTCATATGTTACTTGGCCTTTTTCCCTTGCTGCTTTTAATATCTTTTCTTTGTTCTGTAGATTTAGTGTTTTGACTATGATGTGACGTGATGTGTTTCTTTTCTGGTCTAGTCTATTTGGTGTTCTGTAGGCCTCTTGTATATTTATGGACATCTCTTTCTTTAAGTTGGGAAAATTTTCTTCTATGATTTTTTTGAAAATATTTTCTGGACCTTGGAGCCTGGAGTCTTCTTTTTCATCAATTCCTATTATTCTTAGATTTTGTCTTTTCATAGCATCCTTGATTTCTTGGATATTTTGTGATTGGAATTTTTCTGATTTTACTTTTTCTTTGAGAGAAGTATCAATTTCTGCAAGTGTGTCTTCAGCTCCAGAGATTCTCTCTTCCATCTCTTGTATTCTGTTGGTGATGCTTACTTTTGTGGTTCCTGATCTTTTCTCCAAGTTCTCCAGCTCAAGAGTTTTCTCATTTTGTGTTTGCTTTATTGATTCTAATTCTGTTTTCATGCCTTGCACCATTTCTTTTATGTGTTTGAATTTGGATTCCTGTCTCTCTACGATGGACTCTATTTCTTTGTTCATTTCCTTTTTGTATGCCACTAATTTTTTCTCTACTTGTGCCTCTATTTGTTTGGCTATGTTTGCCTGTGTTTCTTTAAGGGTTTTGTCTATTTCTTCTTTCTTTACCTCCAATTGACTGGCCAACTCTTTGAAAGATTTGTTCATTTCCTCCTTATAAGCCTCAAATAATTGAGCAAGCATGGCTTTAAGGTCATTTTCCTGTGCTTCTGATGAATTGGAGTATCCATCGATTTTGGGGTTTGCTGGTGAAGTCATGATGTCCTGATTTATGTTGGAAGTGTTCTTTCGCCTACCCCTGGCCATTGGCTTGTCTGAGACCTTCCCTGTTTGTTTTTGGATTCTGCCGATCAGACTGGTACTGTCTCTCTCTCGAGTCTGGAGAATTCTTCAGGAAGTTGAGAGAGGTCCCGTGTCCTTAGCGTATGCTGAGGACTAGCTGTACCTGTGGGAGGAAAGTACGCAGGCGCAAACAGAGGCAAATGCAAGCGTGCGTGCGTGTGTGTGTATATGTGTGTGTGTGTGTAAGTGGGTGTGGGCGTGTGGGTGTGGGCGTGTGTCTCGAGGGACAGAGTGATGGCTAATGTTGAACCCTTGAGTGTGTGGGAGGGGCTCTGCAATGTATATGTCGCAGGCGCTAGTGATGATCGCAGCGCAATTTCTGGCATTAACTGCCTTAACTCCTCAATTAGACCCACAGAGCAGGAACTTCAATGTTCCAAGTGCCCCTCTGTTTCCCAAAGTGGGTATATGGGTGGGAGGGGGTTCGATGCCTGGCTTCTGTTTTAGCAGAACCCAGGATCAGTGGAGCTGCAGATTCTCAAGGGTGCACTCACTTACAGGCAGGACACTTGGCAGAGATCGGCGTATCTGGGCTCTCTGCTCTCTGGTTTGGCCCTGCTTCTTTGATGTGCTCCGCCAGTTCCGTGCTGCTGTCACTGCCAGGTTATGAGGTCTTGCTGCAGCTGGAGATTTCAGGGTGGTCACGTCAGTGGGAATCGGGGTAATCAGCCTTTCTGTTCTCTGGTTTGGCCCTGGTTAGTCTTAAACTGGAGGGCTGATGTGCCCCGCCAGCTCAATGCTGCTCCGCCGCCAGGTTAGAAAGTCCCGCTGTAACTGGAGACTGGGTTGCTAGTCCAGATGCTTTCTGGGAAGTCCTGGGGTCTCTTTACTGTGCTCTCCAAGCTTCGGAGGCCCAGCGCCTGGTGTGTCTAGCTTGTATGGCGTTTTTGTCTGGTTTTGGTGATTATATAGCGAATTCTCTGTCACTGTGGGATTGGGCGGGCCGTACCTACAGTGATGGCGCTCCTGCGGAGCTAGTATGGCGTCTAGCAGACTCGGGCCCTGGGCGGATGGTGCAGCCGCCGCGAGTGAATCTGGGACTCCGAGACACAGTACTGCTGGCCTTTGCCGATAAAGGGCTTGGGGCTCCGCCTCAGTGGCTGCAGGCCCCAGGCAGTTAGGTCTGCGCTGAGAAAGGCGAGTCGGCTGTGCCTGTGCCGAGGAGGAGGGAGGTCTGGGGGAGGGGAGTGCTGAGAGATCAAAGGATCGTTTCTCACCTTCCCCAATCAAGTCCGTGGGTGACCCGAGACCAAGGTTTTCACCTCCTGCGATGTTCCCTGTTGTTTAGAAAGTCTCTCCGTTGTTTCCCTGGCTTCAGAAGTTCTTCCACACATCAGCTCAGAACTTTATCTCCTCCACAGCTCGGAAACTGTGTGTGCTAGTCGCCATCTTGGCTCCGCCCCCCCACCTTAATGGTTTTAAGTTAAGGCTATAATTGTCTTAACACTATAGAGCATTAAAAATTATGGGTTTTTTTTTATGTCATTCATTTCAGAAAAAAAGCTGTTTTATGTTGGAAAAGACAGAAAACAAAACCGTTTGGTAGTTGTTTCAGAAGAGGAAAAAAAGAAAGTCCTAAGAGAATGCCACGAAAATGGCACTGGTGTTCATCACGGCATATCCAGAACTCTCACTCTAGTGGAGTCTAGTTACTATTGGACCTCTGTGACCAATGATGTCAAACAGTGGGTATGGCTTCTAAACAATGCTTAGAAAATTTTCATTGTCCTTCTAGTAAATACAGAGCTCAATGTTGCTTAAAATGTACTGTATATATCAATATGGAGTAAGTACATTATGCATTATTTTTGAACTAAGAAAACATTTAAGTTAAAGGTACCTTTGTTTTCCTTTGTATTGAGTCATTCTTATATTAAGTATATTCTACATTAAATCAGCAGGACGTAAATCAAACTAAAAAATGTAATATTTTGGCAGGAAATTATTGAGAACTAGCCCATTGAACTCTTTTATAGTCTTCCCTTTTTTTTTTTTTTTCCTGAGAAAGGGTTATTACGTAACCCGACTGGATTTGATTTACCCTGTTGCCCAGATCTGTGACTATGGCAGCTCTCTAGCTTTCGCACACTAGGTCAAGGGATTACATAAATGTGGTACCACAAGTAGATGTAGAAATGTTTTGTGTCAACTAAAACTAAAATAATTGAAAATTTACTTTAAGATGTGTTGATTTCATGTATGTTTGAATGTAAACCAAAATTCTGTTGCATTTGAATAAGACCCCATTGAGATTGTCATTTAATCAGAGTAGCAATGAGGAGCTTTCGTGGTGCAGCTGTTTGGACTTATTAGCCACACATTGTTATGACTGATATTTGCTTGATGTTCCAAATAAAAGGCTTCATTTGATGGGCTATTCTCAGGCAGTAAATTTCCTTTAAGAAACAAAGGACCTATTGACCATTTTCAGATCTGCTCTATAAAACTGATTTATATTATAGTGAATATTTTAACATGTATGTGTATTTTCCTTATTGTGTGCCTCTCTGTAGGTATATGCTTGTCAGCATTGCCAAGTAGCAAAAAATACAGTTATCGTAGCACCTCAGCAGCACCTTCCCGTGGTGGGAAGCCCGTGGAGTGTAGTTACTGTTGATCTGATGGGACCTTTCCATACAAGCAACAGAAGTCATGTGTATGCTATAATCATGACAGATTTGTTCACAAAATGGGTTATGATTTTGCCTTTATGTGATGTTTCAGCATCAGAAATTTCTAAAGCTATTATCAATATATTTTTCTTATACGGACCTCCTCAGAAAATAGTAATGGACCAAAGAGATGAATTCATTGAACAGGTAGGACAAAGTGCTCACATTTGGGAGCATATATCACTCTTTCATTGTCTGGAAGACAGTGCTTTGTGCTTTATAGGGTATTTAATACATTCAAAAAAATTGCTGTAGATATGGAGGTGTATAATGTATTCTACTAGATTTGTTGAACTAGAAATTAGGAAAGCAGAAATTTTATTATTAAGTTACCACTAAGTAATTGTAAACCTACAATCTTCTGATATCTTCAAACTAAAATGAGATGATTGAACCAAATAATATTTGTTTGCTTCTAGCTTAAGAACAACCAAAAGTAAAAATACAATAAAATTATATTAACAAATGGGAAAGAATTAAACATATTTATATCATATTAAAGATATAAAGAATAATTTCATATGTACATATTTATGTATTTACATAGGTAGCTGTGATAATAGGTATAAACTAAAGGGCTTCACAGATTAATAATAGCATACAAAGTCATAACTTGTCACACATGGCATGTGAAGTACAGTGGAGCAATGTGGAAAACAGCATGTACAAGTAGATTTCTCCTCCATTCTTTTCTTTCAGCAGTTAATTAAATTTATGACTATAAAATCTAAATGTCACCACGCTGTTCATTATAGAGTAGTCACAGGACAAAATGTCCTTGTAGTCTCCCACAGAAGAATGGATGAGGAATCATGCTCAGGTGCAGGCAACAGATATTCCTCTCCCTTTCCTAAAACCAAAATTGAAATAGAAGCTTATTTTGTACTCAGGTAAAAGAAGTGTAGCTAATATATCCGGGCACAGGGTCTTTTCTGAGACTGACACTCAACCAAGGACCATCTATGGATATCCTAGAACTTCTGCTCAGATGTGGCCCGTGGTAGCTCAGTAACCAAGTAGTTTCCCAAAGTAAGGGGAACAAGGACTATTTCTAACAGGATCTCAAGGGCTGGTTCTTTGCCCTCCCCCCCTCCCCCCAGGGGAGGAGCAGTCCTGTTAGGTCACAGAGGAGGACTTTGCAGCCAGCCCTGAAGATACCTGATAAAACAGGGTCAACCTCCCCTATCAGTGGACTTGGAAAGGGGCAGGGAGGAGACCAGGGAGGGAGTGTGGGGTTGGGGAGGGAATGAGAGAGCAGGATACAGCTGGGACACAGGGTTAACAAAATGTAACTAATAAGAAAAATAAAATTAAAAAAAAAAAAAAAAAGAAGTGTAAGCTATACAAGGTTAGTGTGAAAGCTGTGAGCATCAGTGGGGACCCGAGCCCCACACTTTTGTCCTTTCCGTCTTTGGAGTATAACTGTCAATCTTCTGCTGACAATGTGGCTGCCAGAGTCCATGTCATAATACTTATATTGCAGTTAACAAGGAGGACAGGGTTCAAAGAGAGCTAGTGCTAGCTGAGTGTGAGTAACAGTTTTAACTTATATCTGTCTGCCATAGCTTTCACATGACGATGTCTACCTTCTGGGGATCATGTATGTGTGTTTGTTTAGATATTAGCATTTCTTTGATAAACTTTACCTTTACAATTATTCTGAGTTATTTGCATAAAATATTCTTTTCAACGAGAAACTCATCTGCCAAAAGTTAACTAAATTAAACAACATAACAAAAAGAAATGCAAGAACATTGAGGCAGTGAGAGAGTTGTTTTCCATGTGAAGGATTTACTACTGCACATGTCCTAAACTCATTCTGACGTCTTTGAAGTCCTCTATTTAAAAATTATTATTCTAACAGCAATAATAGTTGCAGTTAAAAATCTATAAAATGCTTATTCCTTGCTAAGATTTGTGTGATTTCTTACAAGCATTACTTTGTATCTGCTCCTAGACAGCTAAGGGTAGGATTTTTCTCAACAATAAGGAAACTGGGTACAAAGGTTTAAAGTGACTGTGTCGTGTGACAGTCTTTCCTTAAAAAAAAAAAAAAAAAGTATACTGAATTAAAAAATTACTTGACCACAAAGTTAGTTTTGAATTCTGGCCTTTTACTTATGTGTTGTGCGTATATAGGTGCTTAGACTCCCAAAGCGTAAGCTTGAGTCTTTAAAATGGAGTAAGTAATACATCATAAAATCATCTTGACATGTGAAGACAAAAATGCTAAGAATTTAATGTGTCAGCCTGCACTTGGTCTGACACATTAGGATTTTACCCAAAATACGTATGTGTTTTATCTGAGTGTCTTATCAATGAAAGACAAGACTTGGATTTCTTGGAACTTTTTTTAAACTGAAGGAGAAATATGAACTTTAAACAGTTTTGTTTTTCATATTTTTCAGATCAATGTAGAACTGTATAGATTATTTGGTACAAAACATATTATAATTTCTCATGCTTCTGGAAGTGTTAATTCATCTGAAAGTACACCTAGCACTATCAAAACATTTCTGTCCAAACACTGTGCTGACCACCCAAACACCTGGGATGAGCATCTGCCTGCTCTTTCCTTTGCCTTCAATGTGACTCATTCGGTATGTACCTTTTTGTTACGAACCATTTACGTCTCACTTTCAGGGATATAAAAGGATTTTTTTTTTCTTTTACATGTTTTCTATTTTTCTTAAAAATAGGAGCCTAGTAAAAACACACCATATTTCCAAATGTTCAATCGGAATCCTTGTGTATTGGAGTGTCCTGATGAAGTGGGTGGTGAGAATACAAGTGTGTTTGCTAAAATTGTAGCTGCAGTTAGAGAGGCTGATGCAGTACTGGAGAGCAAGACATCAGCGGACCAGGTGACTGTCTACTAGAAAAGCTCCCTCCGTCAAGCTGAATCAGTGAGGAATTTTCTTTAAGAGTGGTCCAAAATTATGTTCATGCTCATTATGTTCATGTTCATTATGTGGACATGGGGGGGGGGGTTCTCTGCCAGGTTCTGCCTATCTTAGTAATGTTCTTGTTTGTTACTTTTGTTGTATGTGCATTATGTGGAGTAGGTATGTGTTTGCAGGTGCATGTGGGAGCATGTGTGTGGAGGCTAGTAATGGACATCCAATGTCATCCTTACTTTTTGAGCATAGGTCTCTCACTGAAACCGGAGCTCACTAATTCAGCTGTAGCAGCTGACCCGGGAGCACCTGGATGCAGCCCTTGCCACAGGGTTTCCCAGTGGCTAGGGTTCCAGTGTGTGCCGCTGTGTCCAGTGGGTGCTGGGAATCGAGACTTAGGTCTTCATAGGTTTCTGTCAGCCATTTACCACTGGACATGTTCCCCAAGCCTTAAATAGTCTGCTTTTAAGCTATGAAATTCTGAGAGACTGACAGGAAAAGCACAAGCTTAAAAGGAATGTGTAGGCCTAGTTTCTAATCTGTTTCCTTTTTAGCAAGTGTAGAACTTTGCACTTGGTACCTGTGCTAATCCAAGTAATGAGAATGACTCACTCAGCCTGTTGTATTCTTACCCTCTGTGTAAAGAGAGAGTATGGATACTGACTTTAAAATATTTTTAAAGAACTCTTTAGGGTTCAGTCTTTCATTTCAGTAAATATCCATTGCTATTATTTTATGTATTTAAATGTAAGGTCTGGCATAATGGTTTTTTTTGCATTTACAGATGGAGAACAACAATTTGGATGAACTAAATAAAACCAAAATTGTTAAAAAGAAACCCAAGCAATTAAATCCATTTCATTTAAAAGTGGGTCATGAAGTTTTAAGACAGAGGAAAAATTGGTGGAAAGATGGCCGTTTCCAGTCTGAATGGGTCGGTCCTTGTGTCATAGACTACATTACAGAAAGTGGATGTGCTGTCCTGAGAGACAATACTGGGACCAGACTCAAAAGACCTATCAAAATGTCCCACCTCAGGCCTTATGTGAGAGAGGCCAGCGAACAAGGTAAGTACCTGGTACTGCTCTGCTGTTTTATTTTCTTTGAAAAAAGAGATTACAATATCAAGCAAACTTCCTTCCCTCCTTTGGTTAAACTGAGTCCCTATATAAGTTTCATAAAACTTGATAGAGCTTTAGTTGTCCCTAGTAGTCTGTTTGATTAAAATGTACTTTCACAGACTTATTTTCTTTACCTCTCTGGTAAAAATAGATTTGTTTCATACAGTATATTATGGTTACCTTTTCCTCTTCTCTAAAGTACTCCCAGAGCCTCCCCAACCCTCCACCCTCCCAAATCCACTTGTTTTGTTTTCTCTCAGTAGAAAACAAGTAGGTGTACTACTATTATTAGTAGTATTAGTATTGGTATTATATAATATAAAAGCAAAAAAAGCAAGGTTTTGTTTTGACTCCTTTTATACTTTTCATAATTGCTATGAAAAATGCTGAACCTGTTTCAAGAAAGGAAGATTCCATCTCCAGTTTTGCATAATATCCTATTACTTCCTGCCTTATTTTCATGTGGCAAAATAGCAGTTAGGTTGATTATTGCCAAGGACAAACATATTGTCCAGAATCTAGTTGTGAGATAAATAAGGGAGCTTGATAACCATGTCTCGTTTTAATGCGGTTTCATACTTAGGTCATGGGTTGGGATAGGTAAGGCTGGAGGATGGGAAATACTCAGAATGCTGTCAGACTATAGAATTATAATGTTCCATTAAACTTATAAAGTCCAAAACTATGCCAAAGAGCATCCTGCTATCTAACCTTTTTCTTTTTTTTTTTAATTTTATTTTTTTCTTATCAGTTACATTTTATTAACTCTGTATCCCAGCCGTGTCCCGATCCCTCATTCCCTCCCAGTCCCTCCCTCCCTCATCTCCACTGTGCCACTGGCCAAGTATACTGATAGGGGGAACCTCCTCCCCATTCATCCGATCCTGTTTTATCAAGTATCTTCAGGACTGGCTGCAAAGCTCTCCTCTGTGGCCTAACAGGA